CATAAATTTAGCTCGGGTACAGGGAACCGGACGCGCCTAAAAGGGAAGGTCAATGAGAAGAACAGGTCAGAACTTGTTACAGTTGCCTGTGAATGAGGGCCAGTATGATTGAGTTGCCTCGTTCAAGCTTCCCACGGAAGATGGGATGAAATGTATATGTCAACACCATCTTTCGAATTCCCGGCGTGGGGGTGCAAGCCATTCCACAAAAGGGAGACTTTCACAATATTCCGAACTGAACGGACGTGACCCTTACACGCTCCGAGACATAGCTTGTCGATAGTGTAACGCTGTAACTTAAAGCTAAGAATACATTAATTTAACAGTGTGGTGAATTAGCAGGTGAATAAACGTCAATTGGCTCAACTCTCAGAAAAACGCTTTCTTCGGCATCGCTACCCTGAGACTCATGCGAACCGACCCAGCTAGTTTCCCGTACCTATACCGATCTTCCTTAGTTTGATCTGTGAGGACAACTTCCAGTAGCCATCATACACTGTCCTAAGGTAGAAACAGGTGTAGCAGGGATAGCACCATTCCGACTGCGATACAAACAAGGCGGGTTGGAAAAGAGCGGTGTTAGGTGTTACGTGGTCAGCGCAACGGTTCCCCACGGCCGTTAATTTCGGTTTCCCAGACCGGAACTGCTATTTCCTTGAAATAGCTCCTCAATTATCCTCACAAGGCTGAGTGGACCCTGTTCCAGACCTACTACTACTTAGAAAATCTGGTAGCGCCCGGAATTGAACGCGGCAACTCTGGATCTGTAGCAAGGACCTCTGACCACTAGACCACAGAGGCGGTCAAAAATGTCACCTCCCAGGCAGCTAAAATGTGAAACTTGTTGTATAGTCGAAATCGGATTGGGCTGTTATTTCAGAATGAGCTGGTTATTCCCTGTGAGAGGTATTGCTAGTTTCCTCTGCATTTTCCAACGCGGTATCTTCGCTGATCTCCATTCGTGGCCATACTTACGTTCCGTTCGGCTAGAGCAGTGTTCTTCGAACTGGGTTCCGCGAAAGGAGTGACGAGCGTTCATGAAACGTGATGAAATATTGCTCATTTCATATGTTCTTGTATTTATTTTATCGACTTTCTATAATAATATTGAACTACGAATATAAGGCAACATTTTAAAAACAAGTAGATTAGAAGTACGTGAGCCGGGATTAACGGCCGTGGAGATCCATTGCGCTGACCACGCGACAATCTCTATCCGCAAAAGTTGGTACTAACTTCGCCAACAAGCGGCGGTCGCTCGGTCGGTATAGCTCGCTTGTGGACTGAAGCCACTGAATTTAGTTAGGTTTAGTTTGTTATAGTGTGTGAGTAATGTTATATTACAGCTTCCTATTGTACACTATAGGTCTGACTCTGCATTTTGCTTTTATGCCGCCTGTGTGCAACGTCTGTTACTGTTCACTTGTTTTTCTTTGTTGACACTACATGTTTCGACCTAATCGGCTTTCTTCAGGTGTACAGATTATTGTGATTAAGCATTAGAATAAGGAGCAGATTCCTTAATCACAACAAACTGTACACCTGGAGAAGGCCAGTCAGGCCGAAACATGTAGTGACAATAAAGAAAACGACAAATGAGTAGTTATCGACGCTGCACACAGACGGCATGGAAACAAAACGCGAAGTGGGATAATGTGTGAGTGTGGAGCGATTCAACTGGTTCAGCTCTGGATCCGGTGGTGGGATGTTGTGCTCATGGTGATGATCTTTCAGATGCGATGAATGATAGGGAGTTTCTTCTTTAGCTGAGCTTCTCAAGAAGAATTGTGCCCCGTGGATTTAGGGGTAGCCGTTCCCCGTGAACCAGTACTCGCTCATAGATGTTTTACTGTTCGTAGCATACAGCGTGCTACTTGCGCATGTGTCATTATAGAAAGTAACAATGAACAGCTTTACGAGTTTGAATGAAACTCATACAATGTGCTTACGTTTGTACAGTGAGATTTATTTGCTTCCGTTGATTCACTACTCAAGGAAATATATTTTCAAATTTGAATATCAGAAATAGAATTCTTTTATAAATCAGTGTTATTATTTTATTGGAGACGATTCTGAAAAAGATACCCGTTTTCTATGATTACTACTTGAATACCTCTATTTCATTTGTCGATAAATAATCGATGTTATCTTGTGATACGAGAAGCAACATATTTTCAGTTCATTGCTCTGATGCCCTCGTTTCAAAAGAGAAACATAAAGTCTGAATCTGGATACTTTGCTGGCCATTCTCTGGATTTGGCAAACTCAGCTGCAGCGTCATGAACGGGTAGTATGCATATATACAATTAAAAGTGGAAAATATTTTCCTGTGCAACGAATCAACCGAACTAATTAAACATGTTGGTTCTTCTCACTAGTGCGGGGTACCTAAAAGTCCCTTCCTTAGGCTTTCAAGAGAAGAAAATAATGGAGCAATCTGAAATAGCATATATAGGCCTATTATCTCTCTTTCTTTTTCTCTCTCTGAGCATGCGTGCAAACGCTTCTGCTTGTCCTTCACCTTTTATTTATATAAAAGCAAGGCTGTTACCTAATCCGATCAAGAATAACCTAACTTAGAATAAGAAGTGACGCCCTGCAGTCTGGTAGAAGTTTACCGTCTTGCTGAGCAAGCAACAATGAAACAACAGCTCTGCTCTACTTGTTACTTGCTCGGCCTACTTTTCATCCCTGAAGATGAAGTACGTTTCTCCGAAACGTCTGTAAACTATTACGAGACTACACACCGGCGCATCCCAGGAGATAGCAATTTTCAAAGGCACGAGTGAGAGCTCCGAACTTCACGTGACCTAACCTGTCGTGTAACCTTTGTAGCTCGGCCCACCGTCTAATCGATGTCCACTTTTTTTTTTCGCCCCATCGATCACGGAAAGGGATCCACTTATTGACTGTAACCCTGGACTAGGTGAGCCAGTTACCTAGTGGAATCTCGCCTCGTACGCGGGAGAATACTATGCTTTTGGCCTAGACTACTCTGTTTCTCCATTTGGATGCCTTACATTAGAACCGTAGAGATACTGCCTTGTTTTGTGTTCCCGAAATGATTACGCAACGGGTTTTTGATCCTGTCACGAAAATAAAAATAAAATAAAACATTTTCTTCACTAATCCCAAAATTTTTAGCACGTATGAAAACAGAGAAGAGGTTCCCTGTGATTATCTTTTGGTAGGTATGCCAGATAATGAGAATACACTTTCTATACACATATTTAGGTATATTTGCTACAGCTTTTAGTGTCATTAAAATCGGCAGAGCCGGTAATGTTTACCATTTTAAAAATCCAATGTCTTTGCACCACATATCGAAATATATTTAGCGGAAAATTTCTCTATAAAAGGCCTTACGTTCACCATAAGTAGCAATAGTATTTCCACACAGTATTTCATAAATTTCACCTAAATACTTCTCATTACCCTAAACGAAAAAACGAATTCTATTTTTACGGCACGAGCAAAATATGAAGGGCTGATATTCCTTTCGTTTGTTTCTGTGTAACTTCCATTAGGCATACACATTTCAAAGTAGAGGCTTGAGTAGCCTGATATAGGCAATATTTTTAACAGATCAGGTATTTAGAGGGAAATAGTTTTATAAATACAGTTGGAACATAAATTTCATATTATACTCTTAAGCAAATAAAGCCTGTCTCGTTTCATTCTCTAGACTATGTGGAAGCTGTTAGTAAAAATGTTTAAATGTTCTGGCTTATGTTCGTCGTAATGCGACTCTATGTTGCTCACCTACGTTCTTTACTAATGCCTTGATAGTAAAACACGGAAACTCAACATCGTTAGCATCAAAGCCCGAGCAGGTCTAGTCCATTAACCTTAACTCCCTAAAGTATACATGTGTACTTATATTTTTCTTCGGTCTCCTTAATTTTCCAGATGGATTTTTCCTAGAGGTTTCCTAAGCACAATTCTGTCCTCACTTCTTGTCTCCTTCATCCTACCCACACTCGCATTCCGCCCTAGGCTTCTTGATTTCGCTGTATTTATTTTTGTGCATCTCTTTTATGACGCACTCAGTATCTCGTTTTGTATAACACGGAATGATATGAAAAAAAATCCTTAGCCTGTAGTCCGCAAGCGAACCATACCGACCGAGCGATCGCCGCCTGTCGGAAAACTTAATGCGACCTTTTGCGGATAGAGGGTGTCGCGTGGTCAGCACAACGAATCCCCACGGCCGTTAATTTCGGTTTTCTAGACCGGGAATGATATGATTGGTGAATAATTAATTGTAAAGTATTTGAAAGGAAACAGTTGTGCCATAATTGAAATTACCATCCCGGCATTTGCTTGGAGGGACTGAGGAAAACCAGATGGAATATGAGTAAGGAAAGCCGGTGGCCTGACCGACTTTTGTCGAGCATCTTCAGAATTTAAGTCAAGAACATATCTCTGCATCAACCTACCCGGTTTCGCTAGCAATGCTGGGTAACCCGCACATATCACGAAATCCCTCCATATTTAGTGTTCCAAATTGCTCACTCACTCTATCCTTCTTACTGCTTTCTTGTGCACTGTTTTCAAATACTTGCGATGTGTATATTGCCACTTGAAAGTAAGAGATTATTTTCATACCCATACTAAATAACTGGAAAATTGTACTCCTGTATATCGGTCTTATTTATTTATAAAATTCTCGAGCTTATTTATTTAAATAAATTGTTGTACTTTTTGGACAGAAACTATTATAAGAATAATTCTCTTCAGTTCTTCTGCAAAAGCAATTATAATGATCATGGTTGAAATCAGAAGTTATAATTCGGTTATTATTCTGTCTTATATATGCATGCTACAGAATCCTCGCTATTGATACAAAGTCGCATACGAATGCAATGGACGTTCATATAATGGCCTGTAAACATGAGAGAAGTTGACAAATTTTCCTTTTGTCAGGCAAAGGTTGCTACAAGGTCACAGAACCCGATTTGACAGAGAATCCCACTAATTTGCAAGTTGTTAGTACTTACTCATCAAGTTCTTCGTCGGAAGACATGTTGGCCACTAACAAAAGGTATCACAGCTCATAGCTAACTCGCACCACACCCCCAGTTTAGCAGCAGCGACTAGCGACCTCTTCCCCTGTTCGCGAGCACTGTACTACCGCCCGCAACTCGCTCCAGGTGACGTGCCTACAACTGAGGGCTGTCCTCAGTTCCCGCGGGGTAGTATCCGTCCCCCTTCCTTTCCTTCTTTCTGCCGCTCTTCCTGTCTTTCTATCTCTCTCTATCTATCCGTCATTCCATCCATCCATCCATCCCTTCTGTTGATTCCGCCACCTCGTTATATATCCATCTGTCTTTATGCCTATCTACTTACTATCTTATTTTCTGTTCTTTATATGCATGTGTCTTTTTTTCTTACTTCTCACAGAGCAAGATGGCTCAGAGGTACTGTTTCTGACTTGTATTTTGGTGCTGTCAGTTCGAATTTCGCTGGAATACCGACTACAGTTACTGAATGGTTTAGTGGTTTTCTTCAGTCGCTCCAAAATAATGCCGCGGTAGGCCTTTAAATTAGGCCACGATCTCTTCCGTCATCATCTTTTCCAGTTTATTATTCACTAACATCAATTTCTTCGACGATAAACAGTGCGGCAACTTCTTGACGGGGTGGGGTGAAACTGCGTCCACTGTTGGGCCTGTTGTACCGGCCTCGGATGGTAGGCAAGTATGGATCATTCTGTGGAATGAGAGCTGGCAGAGGAAACCGAAGTAGTCGGAGAAAAGTTGAACCAACGTCACTTTGTCCACCACAAATCCCACATGACGCTCTGGGAAACCGGTACTTGGCCACGGCCATGCAGTCTATGTTCCTGGCAGCATAGTTGAATGAACTACAAAAACAAATATTCCAGCTCTTTTTTCTTTTTCTTTCTTTCTTTCTTTCTTGTTTCCTTCATTCTTCTCTATTTTTCCTTTCTTTCTTTAATTGTGTGATATATTCACTCATTCATTATTACCGTCGTACTGACGTGCTGTAAAGTGAACGTAGAAATGTCCCCGTGCTTAAGCATTATGCCATGAAGGCGTATGGGGGAGTGCATATATAGATCCACATTTTCTTGACCTCGGCACTATCTAGAAGTGAGTGGTCAGCTTCACGGGACGGCCTCTTTAACATCGGGGAAAGATTCCCCGGTACCCATTGTATAGGAGGTTGGGTGGGCCTCAGAGTCGGTCTGGACGACGCGAAGGGCAAATTTCTGTAATCATTATTACTCCTACTTCCCACTAACGAACCAATTTACTGAGCGGGTTGGCATAGCGGTAAGACTCTACGACTCGCGTTCGGGAAGTGCTGGGTTCGAATCTCGGCTGGGACACCGGCTAACATGACTGGGGGTTTTCGTTGCTTTCCTTAGTTCCTTTACACCAATTCCAGGACGATACATCGAATAGGCCAAGACCTCTCTCTTACAAATTCTTTCCAATTCATCTTTAATTAATCATCCCAGAATTGGAAGCCGTATGCTATACATACTGATAGCCGTGTAAAGTAACAAGAAACAATCGGCTAACCGAACATTTATGTCGCTACATTTTTAATTGATATATACGCATCTATTGGCAGTTCGCTAACAGTAGAATGTTTTCAGCAATGTTTTGTGACCTTATCGGTCTGTTCTGCTTTTGACTGTATTTTCAGTATCTCGGATTATTTTCTTTCACTTGCTCTACAGCAACCTTGGGCCCTGTCCTCTGATTTTTTTCAGTTTCATGATCATTTTACAGACTGTAGGACTTCTTGGACGAGTGATCAGCTCGTCGCAAGGCCTCTACCTGAACAACACAGACACAGAATAAACACATACACATACCAAACATCCATGCCTTGTGTGGGATTCGAAACCATGATCCCGGCTTCCGAGCGAGCGAAGACAGTACATGCCTCAGACCGCTCGACTACCGTGACCGGCATTTCGTATTATACTGCTCCAAATAATAGGGTGAAACTGCATAATTTGAAACGACGTGGAAGCAAGAAGCCATACCATGACTTCAGGTTGTATTAGTAGCCAGGCAGTTGTTAAACGGCACCTTGGAATCACACAAGGCCTCTCAGTCATAGTAACTATACCCGGGCCGACCTGTTAATCGGCCCTTGCCGGAAACACCGACTTCAGGAAGATTGGGGCTGGCAAGCTGCATTAAACGGAAGGAGTTACCGGGCAGGATGGAATCGAAGCAGCAGGTAAATCCGAATATAATTATCGCCGAATCCGGTCTAAGGCATGTACTGTCTTCGCTTGCTTGGAAATCGGGATCGTTGGTTCGAATCCCACTCAGGGCATGGATGTTTAATTTGTGTGTGTGCGCGCTTTTCTGTGTTTGTCTACAGGTAGAGGCTTTGCGACGAGCTGATCACCCGCCCAAGGAGTTCTACCGAATGTGTAAGAGCTAGAAAAACCGAAGTGAACGGAGAAGTTCATGGGGCTAGGCCTAGGCCCACTGGGGCTGTAGTGCCAAGGAAAAAAAAAACTTTACTTCCTTTACCTCATATCATAGTGCTTATCGTAGGAACATCTGTACCTTTGTAGTCACTGAAGATAGGAAAACTGAGGAATGTTGCATCTGTGAAAATAGTATAATGCAGCTCAATAGCGGCTACGTAAAGTATTGACTTACGTTCTGTTTTACGACAATAAGTATTGGGCCCTCCTAATTACGAATGGGAATTTATTGTAGTATGATATTACAATTATCTTTGAGAATTATACAAGGCAAGTTCCATCATGGCAACAGCGCTACGCAGTCATGCGGCATTCTGAAGGAAACGGAAATTCTTTTTACAAATATCATAGTTTGGGTGTCACCAAGCTAATTTACTGTTCTTCCGTTACAATGAACAATTCAGTTTCCAACGCAAGGTGGTGAGGTGTTTCATCAAATACATAGAAACTTTTTATCAAAACGACTATAGTAAGTTGCTGTTATTAACCGTTTAAATTGTATATACATTTTTATGATTATTTTATTAGCTAACTTTCCTAAAGCAGGCTTATGCAATCTCCATGCTGTCTGTGTGTAACCCCCCCCCTCCTTTACTTGTGAATGTTTGAACTAACTTTAATGAAACTTTGTGTGTACGTAATGCACCTGAACCCTTCTGAATGGCGTACTTCATACATGTCTCCGAACAGTCTGTGTGCCTGTACGTGTATGTGTAAGCTGCCGTTGTAGCATAAGATACGTAAGATAGGCATGAATTGTTCTGTAAAGCGTGTACTGCAGATGACTTGTATATAGCGCAAAAGGAAGAATTCTTAGTAACGTGCTACAAGTGTGATAGATACGCTTGACGAAAGGCCAGGCTTATTAATAAGAGAGACAACCGATCTTCTCGTCAGAGAGAATGTTACATAAGGACTATGACTGCAGGGGTCACCGAACGTGACGATGAAGATATTAGTACTTCTCCTTCATGCGTACCGTGCTCAGTCCTCAGCTTGGAGATCGCCAATCCTGAATGAGGATATTCGTCGTTTTCCTCAGTCCGTTAAGGTAAATTTTGAGATAGTATATCAAATTACTACCAGTTAATTTCTTATTGTCCCTAATTAATTATTTATTAGCCACCCTAACATTTTACACTGTATAATAAGTAAATGAAAATGTTAAATAAACCACGAACATAGATTAAAACACCGTGTTCTTTCCTGCTGCATAACATTGCTGGCATAACTGAATTTCTCGTAGGCTTACTTTGCGTGCTTCTGCTTTAAAACAGTCTCTATTCTGATGGGCATAAAGGACACTATTTTTTGTACGGTTCTAATTAATGAGGTTCCTGTCGGTGTAATAGGTGCGGATGTCGTAGCTTGTACCTGTACGTACCTGGAGAAATATCCAACCGGGAGAATCGATCCATGGCCCTTGAAATGCCAAGACTCCCGATATTTGTCTATGTTTGACCTTATAAAAAGTTTATTGATTACGTCATTTTTTCTCTTCTCAAATCCCTCAGCGTTGGGAAATGTAGATAAAGAGCAGTCGGTCAGGGATTGTTGTGTATTGGGTATCGACAAATGTACCTTTATATAAGATACCTAGTGAGATTAAACGTGAGTACCCGAAGTGAATATTGATTCTCTAAGAGCTTGTGACAATACACTGGGACCTTGACAAAGGGAAGCCACGTTACTGTAAACTCGCTGCAATCCGAATTGTCTGTAGTAAACGATCAAATACCAAAATCCTTCAGTCATTCCAATCCAAAACACTCCGTATGATATCTGGAGCACCATGGTACGTCTCTAACCAAACTTTACATGAAGACTCAAAATACCATCAATACAAGATGAAATGAAGTCAAACATAAACAGATACAAAGACCGAACAGCAGAGCATGTAAACCAGCTCATAAGTGACCTATTCACTCAACCCTTAGAAAACAGAAGACTGAAAAAATCTGGCCAGAAGACCTCAATGAAGTGTAACCATACGGAGAACCATAACTGAATGGTACCCGTCACAAGCCTTCGAATTTTAAACCATTTACTAATTACTCATGCTACTACTATGGAGTAGATTGTAAATTTGCAAGAAATAAAATAAAAAAAAAATCCGAAGTGAACTACAGCACCACAAGAAGGAGGAGGAAGAGGAGGAGGAGGAGAAGAAATTTTAGCTGTATTCTTGCTAGCAGCAAATCAAACAAGAAACCAGTTTTACAAAAGTAGCTATCTATTAAACTAGCCTAATCTAACCTCACAAACCTAGTCTGCTACATTATTCATGCTGGTTTGTTGCTTGGTTTATTCCTCTCTATCCTGCAGATGGAGGTGATATGTTCCTCCGAAACCTCAGTTGAGTTTCAATTGACTACACGATGTTATATCTTCACAACCACCACTGTGAGAACCTCAAATCCTGTAAACTTTCAGGCACTTAATAAGATTATTATCGTCATAAAACCCATTCAGAATAACTAGTGCCAAAATGCCCAGGTGCAAAACTAATCATTTGGCAACTCTATACACTCCTGCTCAGATGTTTATTTTTATTATTTTTTTATGAGGAATGATAGATGATATAATGTCCATGTAGTCCTATAAGGGAACGATTACAATTACGAATGTAGCAAATACCGCAGTACGTGTTTTTTTTTCCTTGGCACTACAGCCCCAGTGGGCCTAGGC